TACCAAGTTTATTTCCAAAACAGTAATATCTCCAAGGAGACAAGCAGGGGGCAGACACTCCACCAGAAAAGTTACACCTTTAAATCTGATAAAATTAGGGATGCACAGATCCAGCTTTTTCAGTTTTGATACCGATTCCAATACTACAGCTTTAGGTATCTGACAATACCCCATAATTAACCGATACCAGTGAGACAAAAATAAATCAAAAATGAATGAAATGTGTTATGGAGCTGTTATTTATCCCACTAGTAACCAAAGAACAGCTCTGTGTAACTAAAAGTTCAAACATTATGAGACTTTCTTATTACACCAGTTTAAATGTCCATCAAGGATAGCGACTGAACAGATATTTAGAAGACGATATTTGGTTCAGACAATTTTTCAGTATCAGTGCCAATAAACAATATCAGAAATGGATTGGCACATCTCTAAAAATAAATAAAATACAGCTTTATTGTACTTTTCATGACATGTACACAAAAAAAGTGTGTTCTAGTATTTCAGTATTTATTTGACAGATCTCCTAATATCACTGACAACTACAGCTCTATATTGTTTTATACCATAGCCTTTATACACAGATGTTATATGAAATTATGCATAGGTGTGCCGATTTAATATCTTCTAGTTTGTTATAGGAGGGTGGTACAAAAATGCCTTTTACTAGACATTGCACAATTTATGACTATGCTGTAACAATCTTATCTAGTCCATATCACCATTTACATTGTTTTAAATAACTTTTTTAACAAGAAGCTAATCCATTTTTACATAGCGCTTTTGTGCCAAAGAGTGTTTTTAACAGTATATGCGAGCCACTGGGCCTTGATAACCCAGCGTAATGAAAAGTTAAAGAGAGTGAACAGCCGCATCTCCCACTGTGCCCAGACCCCCGGGACCACCCTGTGTGACGTGACAGGCCCAGCCTTCTGCTCGGCATTATATGGGTCAGTCTCATTATGAATAATACAAGGCCAATTTAGATGCACAAATCTGGTCTGGCCACTGATCATGAACCAATTAAAATGAAAATGTTGCTTTATCATCAAATATTTTGGAGAGAATGGTTACGGACTGACTGTGAGCTGGTGCCAATGAACTATTTATGCATACACAAAGAACATTTTATTTTCAGTATTGCCAACACAACCATCTTCACATCCTCTCCTCACAGTCACATATACATACATAAAACAGTAGCTTGAGTAGTAGCAACTAAGAAAAGGAAATATAATGATTTGATCGGGACTAGTGTTGTCACCATATGAACATTTAAATCTCCATTTCTATACTAAGGAAAATACTTAGTACCATCACAAGATAATACCAGTACAACGATGGGTTAAAAAAATAAAAATAAAATAAAAATAAAAAATTTACACAATATAATGTAATTTTCAACATAAAGTAACTTTAGTAAAGTACTTATTTTAATATTCAACAGGGGTCTTATATTATGATTATATATTATGTTAGTATTAAATTATATTCATGTTCATTCAAAACCACTCAGAAAATGTACAATGTTCTATTTGTGATTTGATTTTTTCAGACGTGATACTTCTTCAAATAAGTGTCCTGTTTTAGTATTAATTAGTATCTGAGTACTGATTTTTTGGACAACCCTGGTCACTCTGGACTAACTAAATATAGCAAGCAGTAGTAAGCACTAAGCATATAATCTGTTCGTCTTTACCGCTACAATTATTCTTTATGCTCTGGGTTAGTCATGCCTGATCAGTTTGAGAAATATCATTTTGCTTTCAAGGAGACCCAGGACTCGTCACATGACCCCAAATCAAACCGAAACATGATAAGAATCTTAAAGCAAACAGTCGGCCATGTTTAGGACCACGCCCCACACGTTTAATGATTCAGGCTGTGTCCCTGTGCCATTTCCTCTTAATGCCATGTACAGGCGTCAGGAGAATTTAATGCACTTCTCAATGCCATACATATGACCCTGATCCATGTAATCCACTCCAACTCAGTAACACATGCACAACAGCGTCCACACTGTAAAAATGAAATGTCCACTAGCCCTATGTAATATATCATCTTTTCTCAACTTAATATTTTATGTTAAGGGTGCACTGCACCACTTTTCAGGTGCAAGGCCTACTACCTTTTTGTCTTCATGGAGATGTTATTGCTTTGCCTGGAATGTTCTGTGGTATGACATTAGACATATCCATCTAGCAGTTATTCATTACAGGTGTTTCTACTGCTCTAAAATACATTATTTCCTTCTGTGAATAGGGGCGACTCTTCACAGATCTGAACTGTAATGTAGCCTAAAGCAATAACTTTTCCATCGAGACAAACACATGGTGGACCCTCCGATAGAAATATTACACCGTGCACCTTTAATTCATACTATATTTTGAGTAAAGGAATCTAAAATAAAAATAAAAAACATCCAAATATTGTGTATCTATTATGTTCCCATCTCTTTTAATCACTAAATCTTGAGGAACAAATTTCATTCTGTCACGTGTTTCTCTCGCATGTTTGACAAATAAAGAACCTTGAAATTTGAAACATTTGCTTTGGATTGACATAATATATATATATATATATGTATATAATATATATTTTTTCCTTCAACATTTAAAAGTGCACAATGTAACTTTTTCTATGGGGAAATTCCTGGCCATCTCCCACAGTAGGGAATTCAATGTATCAGTTTCATATTTGTACATGAGTGGGGGGAAACATTCGATGTATCTAAAATTAGCATAAATAAAAAATAAGATGGACAATGATGAAATAATACATGTTTTTAAAGTCATCATTTCAAGTTATTTAGCTAGGACCTTGCATCTTGATGAATGCTTTCTTAACCGAAGCGAATTTCTGTGTATGTTTTTATCCCTAATGGCCAAGATGCAATAAAGCTTTTAAAATTTTCTAAACAGACGGAGTGCCTCGTTTTGTTTGTTTGTTTTCTATACACAACTACTTAGATATTTTCAAGTTAAAAAAGAAGCCCTATCCAAAGAGCACTGGTCTACAATTTTGAACCATACATGTACCCACTCAACGCTTTTTGTCTTATTCTTTTTGCAATTTTATTTTTCATAGTGTGCCCTTACTTCTACTTACAGCTAAAGCAATTGTACATCACCTTTAATAACACATGTAAAATTTAAAAAACATCTGGTCAGTGTAGTCCAAACAACATTGTAAATCTCAAACTTTGTCATGAAGTGTTCTGCCAGATGTGTGAATGAACATGTGATCTTTATTCACACCTTTGTCTCTGCTTTGCACCTGCCCCCCCACCCCCAGTCTACTACAAGGAGAAACAGCCGTACCCTTGAATGTGTAATGCTGCCATAAAATTATAATAGCAGTTTCAGGTTGTAAATTCTCCATGAACGCACTTGAGGAGGGCAGTGACAGAAGTCCACTCTTCATTTTGGCCCTTTGTGTTGTTCCCATTTAGCGTGTGAGTCAGCTCCACGTTTACCCAGAAGAGCTGACAGCAACAGTGAGATTTCACAACTGCTACATGCTACAACTAGACCAAGCATTTAATTTGAATATGTTGTTATAGGTAGACCTGTCACCATAAAGACTATATTAACCGATCCTTCAATGCATGACATACAGTTTGGTTATTTTTCTGATCTTTGATAAGATTTGAGCTGTAGAGAATTGAATTTGCCATTTCTATGACTCATTATAGATACAAACAAATAGATACAAACTATTTAAGTGTTTTATTTGGCTATTCATTTATTGCAGTTTGTGTTTTTTTTTTTTTAACAATATTGTACATTTGCAATACTTTTAGGGGAATTAAAATATTGTTGCTTAATTATCAACTATATTTACCTCCGCAATATATCACACTTCAAAATGAGTTATCGTGACAGGCCTAGTCATAGGGCTGTTATAGGGCAATTTATCAAATTTAAACAGGATAAAAAAGATTCAGTGCAATGGTCAAGTTTTTATGCTCATGAAATTGATACTTAAAGATACGAGTCCAAGTTTTTTTTTTTTCTTTTTTAAAGCAGTAGATGGCAGATGTGAAACTTGTTCCCCCTTCCCTCACCTGCCTTTGTTTATGCCCACCTGAGCTCTCTGGTCTTCTTCTGTTTAGCCACAGCTGGTGCACTATCAGACTGCAGTAACATAGATAGCACCAGTGGCAATATGTGAGAATACAACAGGGGCAGGTCAAAAATAAAATAAAAATAAAAATCGAGATCAATTTAAATGACAAAAAAAAAAAAAGTAGATTCTTTTTTCCCCCCGGTTATGACTTGCTCTGGTGTTTTTCAGCTAAAGTAGAGCATTCTGGTCTGGATGTGGTGCGACAGAGGCGTGGTGAGCTGTTAGTTGCATCAGGAGCTTGGTAGACAGCCGCTTTAATTACGAGGAAAACAAGAGCTAGTTTGCACACAGCTGATGTCTCCTCCGACTGACTTCAAGGTGAAGGACATTGTGAAACGCACACAGCCCAATTAATCCAATGTTTATAAGAATGCATTCATCTTTGACCATACGTATACAATCTCTGTAAAAGTAGGAGAATTTGATAATGCTACTTATACACAGGTTTTCAGACAAGGACAATTTGCTCTACTGTATTTAATATTTTCTAAAACAAAATCCAGTACTGCTAGATTTTACCTTCAATAGAGGCTTTTCATCAGTTTCAGAGTTATGAAAATACTGTAATAAGTACTGTTGCCATAGCGATTCAAAACAAAATACTATATCTTGTAAATGAGCTTCAGTCCTTAAAATAATCACATATAAAGAGGAAGCTGAAAACCATGAATAACAGCCTGAATGAGTTACAGGATTAACTTCATACAACTATTATCATATTTATTATTATCATATTTATTTCTTTTTAAATTAAACATGCCAAGTTGCTGCTGTTGATGCAAATTATTGATAGTAAATGGACATATAAAAATCATTACGGTACTATATTTCACTTTTACATGCTGTGCTTTTGTGCTGTGCCGTGCTCTGACCTGTTGTAATGTCGACCAAGCGAGATCTTGAGCCTTCTCAGTTAGCCCCCAGTCTAGTCCAGGACCGCTCTCGTGAATATTCTCATCATGACTTGAATAATCCCCTCCCTATGCACAAGAAAAGAAAAGAGGAAACTGTCAAAACACTACTGAAATAAATACATGCACATTAGTTGTGGGTGGAATGCCAAAACAAGACAATTTTCATAACCTCAGTTTCATCACAATTCATGTAAACGTCTGGAAGAGATAACTCATCTGTTTTTATTTAGCAATTAGTTAAATCTAATTTGAGCACTGCTGAGGCTGACCAACTGATGCTTTGCAATCACATCACAGTGGGGGTCTTCTGTATGCATCTTTATTGGTGGAATGTTCAGCAGTTATCATGGTGACACAATGCACACTATGGCAAACACCAAAAAGTTTTAAAATAATCTGAAGCTCAAGAAAAAACAAAATGGGTTTAAACAACACATTTTCAGGAGCCTGTGACTAATATGAGTGTCCATGATGGTGTTTAGGAGTTTGATTTTCAACAATAAAGGTGAGAGTGACTGTTGGCTAAAGAGAGAGAGACTTGTTTAAGAGCATACATCTCACCTGTCGCACTTCCAGATGAGTCAGCAGTTTCTGGTCAGAGTGCATTAAAATAAAGATCAGATCAAGTCTAACTTGAATAACAGAGCTTCTAGCAGAGCAGTATTTTCAAACTTAAGAGCTGCACTAAAGAGAAAATTTGTTGAAAAAGACGCAATTTTCTTAAAAAAAAAAAGTATATTGTGAAATAACTATTAGATTTGATCACCATATTGCCCAGCCCTCAGTCTCAAACAAAATAAAAACACATTACGCCCTACAACCTGTAAAGTCTGTGCCCTTATGAAGCCAGATGGTGCAATGACTCAAGAGAAAATAAACATTCCTTTAATGTCAGTCAACAACAGCATGATCAGAATAGTACCATTAGTCAGCTTTTGGACACACAGATTGCTGACCAAATTTAAATGATAATTATTTCTGTATTTCAAGCAAATATAATTTACGAACTGTACAGTAAGTATATCTTTTTCTGTCCACATAAGCCATTTAAATCAAACATACCCTGAGCAGGCCCAAAATAGAGCAGGAGGAAGTAAAAGTTCTTCAAACCCACCCCAGTCTGTTTCACTGAGGGAGAGAAAACCTGCTTCCTTAATCTACAGAACTCAGTATAGTGAAATTATTAACAAAGTACATTAGATGATTAGAAGAAACAGTTTTTGGCTTGAATTAGGATTGCACAATGTTTTGTTTTTTTAATTGAAAAATGTTGTTGTACCCATAGTTTGGACCTCTACATGCATGCTCTGAAATGCATGGGATTCTTGGGTTGGGTTTGTGTGACTTCTATCAAATGTTATTACTTCCAGTTGTTTACAATAACAGAATCCTACGTTTCAAACAAATCTAATCTAATGATGAAACTTGTCAGAAAAGTTTACAATTTTTTCTCAAAATTGTGCAGCCCCAGCTTGTTTATTCTGTATAATCATATATAAACACAAAAACATCCATTCTGTAACACACCAACAGTGGCCCATTGCTAAGCTCTGTACAAAACCGTGGTGTGTATCAACAGGCTTCTACAGCATGAACACAATCACATCCGCTTGTGCAGTCTAACCTATAACACAACTCATTATGACCTTCACAGTGAAAGCCATTATCAGTGTCTCCAAATAAAGTACACAATCAGACAGTGACCTTTGGTTCTAAAAGGAAGTACATGCTCACTTATACATTTCATATCTTTGCACATGTCTATATTTCTCTGTTCCTTTGTTCCAGTGTTTGCAGGCTACAGTGCTTTCTTAAAAAACTCTAATAATAAAAGTGGACAGAGGGAGAATAAAAGGATGTATAAAAATGTATTGTGTCCATCCTGGTTGTCTCTGAATGATTTATAACTCAAAGTGACGTGTGCAGAGCCTGTGGGAAAGAACAGGCTGCACTTGACCCGCTGGCGGCTGCTGCACCGACTGGTCTTTGTGACAAGACAGAACAACATGTGAACAACATTTGAACATGTTAGCATAAATGAGGTCAAATATACAACTTTTCTTACTGGAAAGCAAAAAATATACAATTAATACAATTCAGACATTTTTATTGTTTAAAAATATCTCTATCTGTATTGTCCATTGTATATAGGAATGTGTAACTTATTGGTTGACTATTATTTGTCTGCACTGTCTGTCCTGAACATAGATTCCTTGAATAATGTAAATAAAAACTAGGGATGCACCGATAGCAATATTGGTAGTGAATATTGGTGCCGATTCAGCAAAACTTTCAATATCGAGTATTGGTTCCATAATATCGGTTCAGTCAATATCTTGGTTGCATTACAAAATTGATCTGATTGTGTTAACTGTATTTTGAGAGAAATAAATGCCATTTTCAAACCCACACTGTTATCAGTTAATATCAGATATTGGCGGATATCAAAGTACCGATATCATATCTTAACTGAAAAACCAGGATCCATAATAAAATTTGTTATTAAAAATGGAAAGCAGAAATAATGTTTTATGTTACAAGAAACTGAACCAACCAGGAATCAAATGATGCAGGCAATGAGAAGAAGTTGACCTTCACTATGTTTATGTATGTATGGCTCCAAGTCCATGTTATCTGGTCAAGCTCAATAAAAAATATTTGCATTTGTTTGAACTTCACCTAAAAGCCCCACTGCAGTACTTTAAATTAAAAAAAAGAAGAAAAAAAAAGACAGATTTTATTATAGAATAGCATAGAATAACATAGCAAAATCAAGCGTCTTTACTGTGAGCAGGCTTGCACTTCCACAACCCTGATCTTACTTTCTATTGAAATGTTGTTCCTTTTTTGTTCCTCAGTATAAGGCATAAAACTAGAATCAAGGCTGTAGATGACGTTAGGTCAATCACAATACCAAATTGTGAATGTAATATATTGTTGAAGTAAATACAGATGGAAAAACAATACTATTAAAACTTAACCATAAAGTTGCATTATCCTCCAAAAAGCTGCCATAAATACATAACAGAATACAACACTTAAGTAGTGTATCTGTACTGAGTCATAGAAGTTCATAATTCAACCCATTCACAACTTAAATCTGATCGCAGTACAGAAAAAAATATATATATATTTTTCAGTAGAACAAAGAAAAAGTACCTACGAAGAATTTTAACCTCCAAAAATGTCTGTTCCATCCATCAAGTATTGAACGATAAGTCAATATAATATTTATCGTGACAAACCTAGAAGACATGCCACCTCCAAAAAGTTGTATTGTGTAACTTTTAAGGCGGAGGGTCAAATGCTTTTCTCCATGAGATGTTACTGCTTTGTCTGGAATGTTTCACAGTATGGCATTAAACCTTTCTATCTTCATGGAGACCAAATCAAATCAAGTTACATGTCAGATCTGTGGAGAGGCAGAGTTTTAACGGGCATTTTTAAGCTATAAAACCACCTGTAATTTAATAAATGTAAGGTAGAGCTGTTTAATGTCATACTGTGGAACATTCAAGGCAGAGCAATGTATCTATAGAAACAAGAAGGTGATGGATCCCCACCTAAAAAGTTAAAAGCACTTCTGCAATAATCGAGTACAGACAGGGGACTATGAGCAGAGATGATGTACACTTCAGCACAGATCCCTCTTAATAATCACTGCAATATTAACCAGCGCTAATGACTGCTGAGTTCACCATCTTGGGACACATTAGGTTGGCGAAATGGCGAGTTTGCTAAGTTTTAAAAATAAACTATGTACGTCACTGAACACAGTTGGTCGGTTGGCTCCAGATCAGAACGGAGATCTCCAGTTGGTGTTCCATGTTCTGTGTGGGACACGACACACGGTGAGTCATAAATCCTGACTCACGAGCTGTCCAACCCAAAGTAAGGTTCGGACAAGTCAGATTTAACCTTGGATCCTTCAAACAGAGAACCAGAGCCCACGAAAAGGGACAGGATCTGGGACCTCTGCCAACAATATGACTGTTATTATTATTTCATTTGAACACAATTGGCACACCAGAAAAAGGCAATTGCCAAACTAAATGATTTTTATTTTTTCAGATTGGCTTAATCTGATACATGCAAAAAGACTTGAAATTTGGGTTGGCCAAAATGACAAAAATAAAAAAAAGATTAATTACATTTTGCTTTGTTTTTTTCCTTCTACTGAGTGATCACGATTTTCAATTTTATGCAAGTGCACTGTGTAACTTTTCTGGAAGGGGGGCTACCTGTTTATCTCTATGAAGATGTTAATGCTTTAGTTTAAATTGTCCACAGTATGGTATTAAACTAATCTCTCTTGCATTTATTCAACTACCAAAGTTATTGATCCATCCATCCATTTCCTTCTCCATATCCGGGACTGGGTCGCAGGGGCAGCAGTCTGAGCAGGCCCAGACTTCCCTCTCCAAACCCACTTCCTCCAGATCTTCCGGGGGAATCCCAAGGCATTCCCAGGTCTGCCTAGAGACATAATGTCCTACGTCTTCCCTGGGGCCTACTCCCGGCGGGACGTGCCCGAAACACCTCTCCAGGGAGGTGTCCAGGAGGTGTCCGGAAAAGATGCCTGAGCCACCTCAACTGGCTCCTCTCAACGTGGAGGAGCAGCGGCTCTACTCCGAGCTCCTCCCGTGTGACTGAGCTCCTCACCCTGTCTCTAAGGGAACGCACCCAGCCACCCTGCGGAGGAAATTAATTTCAATCGCTTGTATCTGTGATTGTTCTTTCCATCATTACCCAAAGCTCATGACCATAGGTGAGGGTAGGAACAAAGATTGACCAGTAACCTAATGTTATTTATTGTTACAAAAATATCTTAAAAACATTCATTCTTACTGTGACACAAATCTAAAGTTTATGGCTATACTGTGGAACATTCTAGGCACATCACCATGACGACAAGCAAGCAATGAACCCTGCACCGGACAAGTTACACAGTGCACCTTTAACATTAATTTCCTGAATATAAAAACATACAGACTCTCGTAAATAAATGCTATTTAATGTGAACAATTCTTCCTCCATAGTGTAAAGTTAAAGTCTGCTGTAGAACA